CACCCAATAATTTTCCTCTTGTTTTCTGCAAACAAATTAACAAACAAACAAGCATTTGCACCAGTCCCGGAGCAAGCGGAGCATCTGTCATTAAAACCACTCTGTCAGGAACTTAGGGAGACACCATTTGACTCAGATCACAGCTTGGAGTAAGGGGCTTACTTGAAACTCCACTTTATCTGCTTGAGCAAAACAATCATTCCTGAAGCACTTCTCCAACGGATGAAATGAAGGCAACTGCTTCCCACAGAGCGCCAAAGTTGTTAACAATCACAATAAAAACACACAGAACACCCTCAGACCAGTAGCTGTTACTTTCATTATTTACTTGTTTTACTTCTAAAAGAAGTCTCAAACCGGGTTTACTTTTATCATCTTCCCTGGACTCCCCAGCAGGCAGTGAATGACTAATGGGTTTGCCTGGGGAGCAAGCATTTTGCTTCCTGGCCAACCCCTCTGGTGGTATTTCCATCAATGAGCAAATTGAGCATCTTCGGGAAAGTTGGACGACTGGTTAACCTGGGATCTCCCCGTATGAAACACCCTTCTGTTCTTCACATACCCAGTGTGGCTTCTGGCTTCGGTCTCATTAAAAGTGTGACTCAAATACAAACAAAACAATCCCACAAATCAAGGGGTGAAGGACATTCCAGGCCACGCACCAGGAATACCAACGAAGAAAACTCTGTATGTGTTAATTCCACAAGAAAAGCCAAGAACCAGTGGGGGAACTTACTAGAAAGACGTTGGCTGTGGCCAAGTATGCCAAAGGTTAGTTTTTGCAAGATACCTGAGATCACTACTTGGAGTCTCACGGTCTGTATTAACATAGCTTCTAGAAAAGAAGGAAGTGATTTTTATCTCTCACTTCAAGATCAGAGGGCCTCCATCTCAAATGTTCATCCACAATCAGTTAGATGGCCAGCTAAAAATGAAGGCGTCACAAACACAACTCAGCCCTATCTCTCAGAAGACACACACCCATGTTTACAAGTTAAAAAGCATATTCCATGAATAAGAGAATATCAGTAAACCACAGCACTAGGGCAAAGTCACGAGAGATCTCAAGATTCTGGGTAAATCTGCCACACCATCACCCCTCCCCTCCCCGCTCTGGAAGGCTCAACATTCATTTCCCCCCTCATTCACTCATCACACACTGATTGAGGGCTTACTCTGGATAGCATCACACCAGGGCCTAGTATTAGGCAAACAAGGCCAAGCCACTGGCTTCAAAGGTGATGGTCATCCAAAGCCAGCAACTCCAGTAGATGAAACCTCTGATTTGAAGATATAGGGCACCATCCCATCATCCCAACCCTTGTTGCAAAAAAAAGAAAGTCATTCTGGAATGTCACTTAGGAAATGGAATCACTGACGTGGGTTGACAAATGACAGCAAAATTAAGAACATGAAGTTCAATTCTCTATTCCTCACTACCTCAGCCCCCAAAGGGGATCAGATACCTCCCTCCTAGGCTTGTTATGAGGATCAAAGGAACTCACACTCGTAGAGCACTCAGAACACAGAACAGTGTGGAGCAAGCACTTATTATGCCAGCTTTTCAATCACGATGAAATGCACATAGGCAGTCTACTGCAGAGGGAAAGGAAATGTTTGCTTCCTTAGGAGTATTAGTGTATCAAGAAAAAATCAACTGGCATTTTAGGAGTTCAACGCCTTTAAATATATGTGCTTTTTTCCATGCATGTGTAAACACACACACACACACACACGTGACCTAAACGAAGATCTGAGTTCAAGTCAAGACGCAGCCACTTAATCTGGCACATCAAATGCAAACAAGTTTCTTCATATTCCTCTAAGCTCTGACCTCATCTATAAGAGGGAACTGACAGCTACCTCCCAGGGGCAAGATTCAGTGTGGGAATACAGAAAACACTCTGTGTACCCCGGAGCTGGGCAAACATTAGAGAATTGAAAACCGCTGGCATAGAAACTTTAGGAGCTCATTCTCCTAATTATCCCTTTCCTGAAGGCTTAAAAATGTTCAATAAACAGTAACATTTAAGCACATACACCCATAAAAATTTCATTAGGGTTAAAATCACAGGATTTCCCAAGTCAGTCAGAAAAGCCATCTAGCTCTAGCCATTACTCTCCTTCCCTCCACTCGCCCATTTGGCAAAGGTTTGCTGAGAACCACCTGCCGGGCACGTAAGAGGAGGGCGCCACCAAACACCGTGGGAACTGAAATCTGCAAAGAGAGCCCTCCATCTGGTTTTGGAATGCACGCTTTGGTTTTTAAAGCCAGTGTTAACCTCCCAAATATGAGTTAACTAACATTTGCTATTTGCGTTTAATGATTTCCTAATTAACTTGTCCCATCTCTTGATACATTAAGGATCACAAACCTTGAGCTACCACATCCGCTAAAACTACTTTTCACAGACTGCCTTTCAGCTTTGACATCTTCCACAAGTTGTTAGTTTTTATGAGTTCAAATCACAGCTACTCTCATTGCCTTTGAGAAACAAACCAAAACCAAAAAACCCAAGAACAGTACAAACTGCTCAAAGTCCTGGGCAGCAACGAGGCCCCAGGAGCTCAGGAAGGCATGTGGGGTCAGCATGAGCACATGCCACGTGCCAAGCACCATGTACTTTAACTAACTCTTAAAATGTTACAACTCCAAGTCATGTTATTATGCCACCTTAGGGAGGAGAAAACTGGAGTAGTTGGTGAAGTAATCTGCTTAGAGCCTTCTGGAACAGCATAACCTTACCACTGCCCTGATAGTAGCGGGTTCAACCATACTGACCCTGGGTTCTTAAAGCACCCTCCGGTATGTCACAACCCAAAAGGAAAACGTTCAGTCTTTCACAGTACTGTATGTTAGGGTAAACGCAATGTGTGCAAAGTAATCATTTACAAACAACATCCTAGGTGGCCGCCACACTACTTAATTCATCCAAAGGAAGTTCCATGGGTCTCCCTCTCCTAATCTCTTTCCAGTGGGCGGCAAAAATAAAAACAAAAACAAAAATCGTTTAAGCGGTAAGATCGTGACCAGTCGGCATAAACAGCTTTCGCACAGCCAGCTTAGAGAGCAGAGCTTAGAGACTCCGTGAGGCAGCCGAGGCTCTGCAGCTTCCTTCTCCCCAGGTCAACCCGGTGCTCTCACAGTCACTTAGGTTTCATTCCTCCGCTCCAGAAATGAGGAGAGGGAGCCAGGAAAGGATGCAGGGTCAGAGCGGGGCTCTGCGGCAGAGAGAAGGAAGCGGGCCCATCTGAGAATAGAAAGTGGATGTTTTCTCCCACCTTTTCAGAACATATTTGCATAAGAATGTGTCTCAAAAATACGATCCAATATGTTAAGAAACTCGTTCAAAATCCTAAGCAGTTTTTCCCAAAACTTTCCAAATACACATCAACTTGAGGGTCCAAGAAGCACCTGTAAGTAAAATAGGACAGATTCAAAGAGCATGGCTTCGTGAAGAGCGGGGGCCATGTGCTCTCCGTGAACAGTTCCGCCAACACTCAACCAAGCAAATTACAGCGAAGCTGCACATGCACACATGAACCCTGGACTGTTAGGACCCATATACGAGTTTTATTAGGAACACATATGTGCACACTTTAATGAAATCACTGGTTGCACTCCTCTCCCACCAGGATTTTAAGACTTTATCACTTAACTCCTCCAACTCAGATGGGCCAGAAAGTATAAACTAATGGAGTGCTCCAGTGAAGCTTCCAGAAAGGAGGAGAAGATAATCAAGCAAAACGATGAGCTAGATGAACTATGTGTTTCTGTTCTTTAATCTGATCCCAAGACATCATGCACATACTAAATTTCAGAGCAGCACACATACTGAAGCCAAACGCAGATGACTGTTACTCCCTATGAAAGGTTCCATCTCCCTCTTACTGTTGGTAACTGAGGACTGACAAAACCTAAAAAAGGCTGAGCAGCTGCAGCCAAAGCTGATCATCAACTCTGCAGGTAGGCTTCTGTGTAATTAAGCACAAGCAACTGGCCAGAGAACCTTCTCGAGACATTCTTTATCAGCAATCTGGGCTGAACCAACAACATATATACATGGTTCAATAAAACAATAAAGCAAAAAAAAATTTTTTTAACTCTCATGTTGAGTAATCTGAATTTTTTACTATTTTGAAAACAAATGCTAGAAAATCTAAGCCCCTGCCAACCCCTCCCCCCTTTTAATAAGAGAAATCTTATCATGCATGACAGGCACTTTATAGCTTGGAACTAACCACACCATATTGGATGTACAGAGCAGACCAGGTCACTGTAGGCAGGAAATCATTAACTGAGTACAGTGGGGTCACTCTCAGTATTCCAAAGGCTAAACTCAACCAGGAAAAACAAAAGCAGCATTGCCCTCAACATCCCAGAGAGGCTGCACTTCATGCTCCAGGCATTCAGCCACAGTGCATGATGCAGCAAAGGTCTTAAATTTGCAGAATCCCAATGTTGTACCATGGTATCTGCAAGTAGTACCTAGTCATACCTCCTGCAAAACCTAGAAAGGCCAGGCAAAGCCAGGTCTCCTGCACCAATCTTTGGTCAAGTGGTAACCTGAGGACAAAAATAAGGGTAGCCAATAGAGAGGGAAATGGAAGACGGTTTAGGATGCATTTTGTTATTGATATTATGGGATGTTGAAATGAACACACGAATCATAATGAAAAAGGTATCATCTTGAACCTCAGGCAGCCAAGCTGCTAACACTAAAACAGCACAGCCCAGAAATTTCTATGGAAGCAGAGATGTTCCACATCTGCTCTGTCCTATGTTATACTAGCCACAGGTATCTACTGAGCATGTGGAAGGTGGTTAATGAAACTGAATACCTGAACTTTAACTTTTGTGAGTTTTAATCTTAACTGACCAGCCTCACATGACCAGGGCTACCTGACTGGCGGGTGCGGCTCTATCCGCAGGAAGTGACAGTGATCAGGGTCAAAGGACATGGTGTTATCAGTGAGAAGCACAACAGCATCAGGGGATGAGCAGAGAGAAAGGCCACCTGAGCCGCGAAGAGTAGTCATCAGGTCTCCCTGACCCTGGAAGGGGAGAGGACAGAGACACAGAGACACAAATGGCCTCTCATCGGTCACCAAGAAGGTTAGCATGGGGGCCGGCTGGGCAGGCACCACTCTAAGGTGCTGGGGTGGGTGTGAGCAAGACTGCAGAGTGAGTGCCTGCAGGAGGCTGACATCCCCAAGAGGGGTGGCAGACACCCACAAGGAAACAAGCTCAAGCTGGTTAAGTGCTACACAGGCAAGGGCTTCCAGGAGGAGACAGTCAACTGTCCTAAACTCATCTCAAGGTTGAGAAGAAGGCGGCAGAGCAAAAAGGGTCACTGGCAGGCTTGCCCAGGATGGTGCGGGTGGCCAGTGACGTCACACGCCGTCAGGTAACAGTCAATCTCAGGAGAGACAACTGGTCACCCCAATCGTCAAAGGAGGAACAGATGCAGCAAAAAGCTTGAAAAGGGAAGGTAAGAACACAGACAGTGGAGAGTAGAATATTTTCTCTAAAGGTTACTTTCTATGAAGTGAAGCACAGAGGGGGTAATGGCAAGAGAGGCACACAGAATTAAGGAAAATAACATTGATAATGTTACAAGACTTGTTCATCATGTTATAAATTTCTACTGTTATGAGACCTGTTTTTATCCCATTTGGAACGATCCAGAAGAAAAGAAGAAACCATCTAGGAGATAAAAGAATTAACCACCAGTGAGACATCCTTGAGAAGGTAAGAAGATTCCTGCGAGAGAAGAGGCCTTGGACAGGAACGGGCCGGGACTTCAGCTGCCGAGGGCAGAGACAAGAGGGTGGAATCGGTGGTAAGACGGCGAGGGGGTCTGACTGCCCGGCTTCTCCTCCTCCTCAGTGAAACAAGAGGCACAGTCATCGGGGGAGGAAAGGGGGACAAGGGTGTGGGAGGATTCAGGCGAGATCAGAGGGTGTGAAATCTTTTCTGGCAACTGGTGAAATTACTCAAAAAGTGTAATGAGATGCCTGACAGATGCCCATCTGAGGAAGGTGGTCACAAACGGGACGTGAGTTTGGCTGGCACATCTTGGAATAGTTGGAAAAGGTGAGTTTCACCGGAGCCTCTAACTGGGCTGGCTGGGGTCCCATCAGGGAATCCAATGGACTAACAGAGGCTCGTGTGGTTGGCTGGAGGGAACCACAGAGTCTAGGCAGCAGAGAGATGTCACCTCAAGGCCCGGGGACGGTGACGCATGGTGAAGAGGAGGAAGGGGTACACAGATTTGCAGATGGAAGATCACAGAGTGGGGTGCTGTCAATCATGATCCTGGGGGTCAATCAGAGAGGAAGATCTAAAGAGGGTCATGAAAATGAGGTGGAGAAAGACGGGAGAGCAGAGGAGGTCAAGAACTGAGAGGCCACGTTGCTGGGAAGGTGGGTCGCCAATGTGATGTGGGCACTGGGGTCTCCACAGATGGTGAGTGGAGACTGTGAGGCAGGGAAGAAGCCACCCAGGAGACAGTGACAAAACGGGGGGCAGAGGGGTGCTAGGTTGACGGTGTAAGCTTCAACAGGAGCTGAGGTTTAAAGGTGGGGAAGACAGGTTGGTTAGAGATGGCAATCGGGAAAATTTATGCCTTGAGGAGAAGGTGGGGGAAGCAGTGCCCTCCAGGGACAGCCGGCCAGGTTTCCATTGGCGCAATGGGACGTTCAGGGGGCAGAGGGTGACAGAAGCTCTGAAAGGGGACAGGGGAGAGAATGGTCCAGCCAACGCAAACAGCCATGGGAAGGAGTGGGCACCACTTTAAAACTGGCTCAGTGGCGACAGTAAACCAGTCAGGGACAGTCTCCTAGCTCAGGGGCACCTAAGCATGCCTCATTTGCAAAGTTACCACTCTCTTACCAGAGGGGAAGATGGGGTATAAAGGTGGCAGCAACTCCAGGGCTCACTACAGGATGCTTTAGACACTTGTCAGCAACTGAATTCGGCCAACCCTATCATCAGCTTGTTGGCAGAAAACCAGCACTTCCACCCCGGACCTCCAGCAGGACGCCAGCCTCAAACCGAAGGCAGCCGCCACTAGAGGGCGACACAGCCCAAAGGCGAGAGACTCCCAGGCACCGAGTTCAACACCACAAAATCTGGGCGCGAACAGACGTGGGTTTAAATTTCCCGTGGGTTCAAATTTCAAGTTCGAACTTCATTTAGCTCATTTTTGAAGATGGAATACTATAAAATACAAAAAGGCCGTGCATATGGACATGTACATAAAAAGGTCTTGAAGGCTTTACACCAAACTGGTTAACCGTGGCTCAACTCTGGCAAAAAGACGGGAGGCGGTGGGGCCAACACGCAAAAAAGACTCAGTTTCCCTTTCGGTCTACATCCTATGTTTTTAAGCATTTTTCAGGAATGCATTCACATATTGTTTGTGTCACCTAAAAATACACTGAAGATCAGAAGATACAATATATGGAAAATAGGCCACACTGAACAAAACTACAGGAATGGACAAAATAACAGACAACACAATTCACTATAGACAGACTCTCCAACAGCGGATCAGGCTGGATCCAAAACCATCTCACCTAATTCCATTTTGTCCTGGAGAAAAACACCCCAAGAGATTAACGAATTTGCTCAAATAACAGGGGCAAAATTAAAATAGCACCCAACTCTCATTCAGGGTCCTAGTCCACGGGAATACTTTCTCTGCTTTGTCCTCTTTGAAAACATTAGCATTTAGTGCTCAGCCATTAATTCAATTCTCCACCCCTCCAACGTCATATCACCCCCCTTCTCTCTCCTCCCCCCCCACTCCTCCCAGAAAGAGAGGGGGACACAGGGATTGTGTATCTGAAACAGAATGTCTTCCTTTGGTTAAATTTAACAAATGTTAGTCAGTATTTTCATCTCTTGATAAAAAACATCAGAATCACTGTATCAGAGAATATAAACACTAAAAAATCTACCTATCTTCAAATTACTTGCAGTTTATTAGAACAGCACAAGTTAAGGGATTCAACGGGGAGTGAGATATTACATCTGTTGGATTAAGGAAAAATTTCCTAAAGGGAACATAAGAAAGGCCATTTTTAAGGAGCAAACATGTGCTGATCACTCACTATGGGCTGGGCATTGTGCTAAGAGCAGTTTTTGTTGTTACGCATTTCAGCTTCCCCAAACCTGATGCCACAGCTACAGTGCGCTTCCTTCCAGAGGAAGGGAAAACACAGCGGGCTGATGAGCGGCAGGGCCAGGACTCACACTGGGCCTGCCTGATTCTCACGCTCTCTACACAGAGCCCTTGGCGGGCAGGTCACAGGACCCTCTTTACTTCTCCTGAGAGCCACTTCATTCCATCCGTAACTCCTCCCTGCCCTTGCTGTTTGGCCTCACACGATTTGAACATTTTTGTCAAAAAATGACATTTCATTCCAGTTTGGCTGACATCAGTGCAAGCAGAAAGATGGCTCGTGGGCCTGGGTACTAAAGGAGCAGGTAAGGGAGGGATCCAGAGTCAGGGCAGGGTCTGACCTTGGCAAGACAAGTATTTGTTCCTCAAAGGATCAGCGGGTAGAGGCAGGATTTTCAAGATGGTTAAGGACGACTGTCCGATGACCTGCTGGACGATGCAACAGTTGACGCTCCACGGTCAAGGGCCATGAAGGGAGGACTGAGGAGCAGAGAGCAGACATTGGTTCTCAGCTCTGGCTGCTTCTCAGAATCACCTGTGTAGCTTTTAATACACACACCAGTGCCCGGGCCGGCCTGTCCTACAATGAAAACAGGGTCTCTGGGCAGAACCTCCTCCAGACGCTCTAGTGTGCAGCCAGAATTGAGAGCCACTGGGGCCTGGCCAACAGCAATGAGGACTGGAATCAAACAGTAACAAAGGGTGGTGGACAGGACTGCCAACTCTGTAGTCCAGTAGTCCAAAGTTAGCAGCATGACCTGGTTATAAAGCCGCATGACTTAGCTTGGTGACATTCACCAGCGATTTCTACAGCTAGGAGAAGACCACCACAGCAAGGTCGTCCAGGACATTAGGTCAGTGGGTCAGAGGTACAAGGGAGTGCAGGTCAGTGGGTCAGAGGTACAAGGGAGTGGAGTGAGTGCAAAGGCACTGTGGCAGCAACTGATGAAGGAGTCCAGGCTGAACACAGAGGTGAGGCCAGGTTCAGCCAGATTACAACCAGCAGATAGAGAATCCAGGGCAGCAGAGGGAGCAGGCTGGGGGCAGGCACGGAGGTCAGAATGGTCTGGACACCTTTTCAACATACAGATGTACATACGAGTGTCACACCTTTCCTCTACATTCCCCAATATTCTGGTACTTGGGAAGCCTCCCCAGGTGTTTCCAGCACCTCTGCCCCATTAACACCGTTAGGACAGAAGATGGTGTAGGCACAAGGAAGGCAAAGCACAGAGCGGAGGTCACAGAGGGAAGCCTGCAGAGCTTAGAGGAAAAGCATCTTCAACAGAGACAGTGGCTCAGATTAAGGAGAAATACTTCTGCATTTACTTCAATGAGAGATGACAAGGCGCATGTGAGAGCCCATCACAGGGAGGCCAAGGCCCTTAGGGTGACACAGGGGCCTGGATGAGGATGAAAAGTAAAGGGGGTGGGGGTTTGGAGGTGTGGCCCAGGGAGAGTGGCAGCAGGTAGTGTGAGACAAGGTCAGATCTTCAAGAGAAATCCTGCTCAGGTTGGGGCCAAGCGTGATCGGAATCAGTGCTGGAAAATGAGGAGCATGCCAGCACCCCAAGCGTGGGGAGGGGAGCCCTCACCAGGGCAAGGCGGGAGCAGCGTCCTGGCCTAACGGTTATTTTAGGTGGATGGAACAGCAGCATCTTCGGCTGGAAAACTCAAGTCAGACAGGTTTCTCTTCAGCCCTAACGGCCTATGGCTCAATAAATATTTCTGGAAATTTTGAAAGATTTGATGAAAAAGATTATTTGGACAAAAACAATGAGGCAAAACAGGAGGAGGAATACAAGTTCCTAGATCGGTGAACAGGCCTGGGGAGGGGAGGGCAGTCCTTAGGACTGGTTTTGTTTTTTTAATTAAAGGCAGGGAAGATTTAAAATTAATCTGTCATAACAAGAATAAATTATTTACTAATTATAAACTGCTGTTTCAGCACAATCATTGATGAAATAGAACTTCTGGTTAAACAAGCAAATGACATGAAAAAAATATGAAAAACCCCAAATTAGCTTCACCAATTCAGTTTATATTTATTCACAAGTGTTTTGGATAGCAAACACTGCATCAACAGCCTCCTGCTACATGCAACACGGGCACCTGAAATGCAATGATCACAACGCATGTAACATCCAATGCATCAAGAACACAAGATTATGTCCATACTGGTAATGGTATGTTCCATGAACAAATCTGAGTTCACAAATAGCAGATATGCATTTGTGAGTCATCTCAAGTTTTAGCTTTATTGGAACTTTTTAGTAATTCTTGCTGAGCTTCAGGAAATTTATCACGAATGAATGGGAAGCACAGTGAACTAGTTAATGATGCGGGAAGACAAGGAAGGTTGCAGGGCTGTATAGCTTCGCACCTCAAATACATTCTTTCCGCTGGGTTATCATTCACAGTAACTAAGTTTGGAGCAGCTATTCTTAAAAAAAAGAGAGAGAGACAGAGAGACACCTGAGTAAAGGAGAGGCAGCCATTACCCAGAGGTAAAGAGAGAAAAGGTTTCTAGAGACAGTATTTCCCAAGGAGAGAGGAAAGGTTCTGTGTATGTCGCACGAGCATACACAGAAGGTGTCGGGTAACCAGAACCACCTTCAAATCTTTTCCAAAAATCCGAGAGACATACATTCAAAGCTAACTGTAAAATAATGAGAATGATTCTTCATACTTACAGTCCTATCTCATTAGCTTGGAATTTTCCCATTTCCTCCCCTACAGTTAGGAGTGAAAATGGCTGACTGCCTCCCCATAAATAAAGATTGATATACACGAGCAACATGGCTGGAGCAAAGTGCAAAAATGCGCTTACGTCAAATTTGAACCTGATAAAAATAAACTGATCACATTATTATCTTGAATGTGTATTATTCTAGATGGTAATAAGAAATAGGCTGTTTTTCTTTCACAAAGGCAAACTGGGCCTGGACATATTCCTACATCCTCAATCATATATGTGCTGATTCAAATTAGCATGTGGAATCATGACCTTAACTGTATCCGGAAAAAAGAAAGCACACAGAGAAGGGAGAGGCAGTTCTGCAAATGCTCTGGACTAGGAAAATCTAAGTTTCTCAATTCTTCGTTCATTCCTCAAATTCTTACTAAGCACACTCCTAGGTATTCGGGGGGCTAAGCAATGCTGCTTTCCCACTCCTGGAATTCCCTTCTAGATGGAGGGAGCTCCGACCAGCACACTCCTCCACCCAAAGCACCAAGAGATGCCAGCCTTGGCTTGCCCTGCATAGAGAACTGGCTGTGCCAAGCTGAGTCCCCTCCTCTGCGTCCACCTTACCCTCCATATAGAGGTGGGCCCAAGGATGGACCTTCTACTTGGTGAGACCACCCAGGCCTATGCTGTCACTGACCAGGGTGCACATGAGGGACTATTAAGTCTGTCTAATTACACATTACCAAGTCCACTGGCCTTGGAACAGAAGCTATATTCTCCTGCGTGAGGCTCTAGCACCAATAAAGACAGTGCTTTGGACCCCTACAAACTCTTCCGTTACCTCTCTGATGGGATGTATCACTGGACCCCCTTACGCCCTAACATCGTGTTGCTGCACAAGGCAGAAGAGTTCACAGGCCAAAGCGTGTCTCCACGCTTAGAGCACGAAGTCTCATCTGGGCAGGCTGTTTGAAAATGCAAACCCCGAGAAGTAGGCCGGTGAATTCCGATGAAGCAGACCTGCGGAGTGCTCAGACTTTGGCACCTCAGTGGATCGGAGCTAAACCAAAACCACATTCTGAGAAAGCCTTGGGGAAAGTTCATGGCTCTCTTACCTCCGAGCTTAAAAAAACACAATATATTAATAATAAATCTGATCTTCCATTTCTGTAAAATGAAATCATTTTATGGTTGACTCATTGACCCACAGAAAATGCTCACAGAACAAGAAGGCTGCAAGTGAGAAACACAATTCTGCATGTGCTGGAATCACTGGACACGTCAGCTTGCCGCTCGCTGTGTCAGTCAGGTGCCAGCCCACACCTCCCACACCCCAAGGAGGTGCACCGTGTGGAGGCAGCTGTCCTCGCACAGGCATGGAGACCCTGAGAGGCTGGCAGTACTGGCTGTGATCAGACCTCAAATTATTGGGTCTAAACACATTTCTCCACCAGCAATCCCCAACCTCCAATACAAATTTCAAGTTAACAAATGTTGAGTGTTGTCCAGTGCCTGCCAAATGAGACACCCCATGTTGATTTTTCTAACCTCTTCACAGAGGAAAAAGAATCATATTCCAAGATCTGTAATGTCATGATTGCACAAAAGCTGAAGTTAAAACTGAACTTACTTTGTATTAATAATACTCACAAATGTGCTGCCATTTATCAATGTTTGGCTCACGTGCCAACTGCACTGTTGTATGTCACCTGCAGGATGGGCTCTCTCCATCTGAGAGCTATTACACAGAACTAATAAGGAAAGTGCAAATTATTCTTTCAAAGGTTCTAAAAGCCTAATTCCACTTTCTCAATTGTGTCACAACCCCCTCCCCCACCCTAGCTCCAGAAATCAGAAGACAATTATTTCTCAAGATTCTCTACTTGAGAACTATGATAAACCTTTAAATTAATCTTGGGAGGACTCCTGGGCTTCCCCTATAGTATTTAATTTCCTGCATTAATGAGAAGAACACAAGGTAACCCTTTATGTTTCCTAAATAAACCTTCATAAAACCTGAACCTAATCTGGTAATTAATTCCATCTTCCC